ACTGAAACACAAAGAACCAATAACACCTCCATTGAGGCTCAAACTCACAACCTTCCAAATGGAAGTCCAACCCGGGTACCATTAGACCACATAGTCTTGGTGTATGTATTGCGGTCTTAATTGACATGAAAAAAAATATTAATTTTTTTTTACGATTTATAATTTATTGCAAGATGTCATAAATAAAAATGTATACGAAGAATTGTGAGGGCTATCATATCACAATCATATCATTTCATATTTCATACAAATACCATTTTTCTTGTATATAATTCAACTATAATTAAGATTCAATCTAGTATGTAAATGGATGCTTTGTTACGTTATACTAGCTACGTTAATAATAACGTTGTTTCTTGAACTTTAGACGTTTTTCTTAGTTCTTGTGACCTTCTTGTTGTTAGTTATATGTGTAAGAATATAGTCATTTTCAGTTGAGTTACCATGATTTATATCTTCCCAGATGCTCTGTCGGACTGAGGTGTGGGGGCTCTTAGAGTTGGGGTTCAACCTTTTGAAAGAAAGAAAGAATATAGTCATTTTAATGTGTATTGCGAAAAATATTTAATTCTATTTTGTATAGTGATTTTATCACTAATTTTTTAAATTCATAATTTTAAAATTTATTACTTTTACACATGAGTGTAGTAGGCGCTATTGTAACACCCCACTTTTCTAACTCTTAATTACATCTCTAAACAGTCATTAACATAAACTATGCAGCGGAAAACTAGAAGATAAGTAGTGGGAGTGTCACCGCCACAATCACCATTCTTTGGTGATCGATCGTTATACCCTGCACCACGGCGCACAGTGCATTGTGCGCCCCGTGCCTTCCAAAACGACGTCGTTTTGGGAGGCGCGGTAGGAAATTGACATGATTATGTATATTTGTTTATACAATTATGTATATTTTTAATTATGTACATTTTTTATATAATTATGTACATTTTTTTATACAATTATGTACATCCGAATCAGGAAATTTTTGTGTATTATGTTAAAGTTTATGTTTATTATGTTAGATTATGTGTATTATCTTTTAAAAAAGAGTATGTGTATTTTGTTATATAATTATGTACATTCATGTATACAATTATGTGTGTTCTAGTATAACATTATGTACATTTTTGAAATGAGATTTTTTTTAAGGAAAATTAACAGCCAAAGACTGGGTAGCGAAATTTCAAAAAAAAAAAAAAATTTGAAGCGACGTCGTTTTGCATCTGGGCGCACAATGCAACGCGCGCCGTGGTGCAGGATATAAATTGCCTTTGGTGATTGCACAGGCTAAAAGGGGTAAAACTACAAATAAGATTAAGTCTAGGTGCTAGAAATAAATACTGGAAAAGTAAGGGGGAAATAGGTCACCCCAACACCGTCTACGACAATCCTCAAACATAATATCATAAGTCTAAATCCATAACATGATCATAAATAAAATGAGAGTTTAGACATCTCAAACTACGAGACTAATCTAACTCGATCTCTTCTCACTGCTGGGCCCACCTGAAAGGGATTTTGCAAGCAACACATAGACAAACAGGAAAAATAACCGTTAGCTCGAAGCTAAGTATAACCACACTCAACCTTGTAAAGCATTCTAGCATATACTTTGAAAACATTTAATATCTATATAGCAATAAGCTAATCTCAACTCATCTTAAGAATTATCACATTCTTTCTAAATGCTTGCACCCTATAATATCAGCTGGCATGCTTATATATATGTATAAGACTGATCACGTATATTCATCAACATATAGACTTCTCAAATAGCTTATCAAGAAATTCATGCTTACAGATAGGATCAGGTTAAAGGACTATACCACAGGTATTTACATGCTTTCACATTCTTACCACATAACTTGATAAGTGGGACTTCTACTACAACACGATAATCATGCTCAAGGAATATCTCAAGTTAAACTTCTCATTAAACAATCTTTTACGATGCTCTATTCGTATACAATCATGTATAACATTATGATCATGCTTCTTATGCAATCTAGTGCAACAATATATTCATACTCATATGCAATCTAGTGCAACCATATAATCATACTCTTATGCAATCTCGTGCAACAATATAATCATACTCTTATGCAATCTCGTGCAACAATATATTCATACTCATATGCAATCTAGTGCAACCATATAATCATACTCTTATGCAATCTCGTGCAACAATATAATCATACTCTTATGTAATCTCGTGCAACAATATAATCATACTCTTATGCAATCTAGTGCAACAACATAATCATACTCTTATGCAATCTAGTGCAACAATATAATCATACTCTTATGCAATCTAGTGCAACAATATATTCATACTCGTATGCAATCTCGTGCAACAATATACTCATGCTCATATGCAATCTAGTGCAATAATATAATCATACACTCATATATAAATTAGAATACTTTCTATGGAGGTTTCTTTGTTACTTTCTCGAGTCTCTCTTGACTTTCTTTCTTTTTCTCGAGTTTTTATTGACTCGCATACTTGAGTCTCTGTTGACTCTCTTTCTTGAGTCTCTGTTGACTCTCTTTCTTTCTCTTATACTCGTAGACGGTTTAGGGTTTCATAGAAGTGTGAATTATTCCATCGGGAACGGCATAATTCCGAACCAATATCTCCTACATACCGTCTATGGAACCAATCTCGTGGTTCAAACTCTGTGGAATCAGGTATCGAACTATTAGTGTGCACACCCCCTAACCAGGATTCCAAGCTCGGCGGGAAGTTTCCAACCTCGTAACGTAGGAATACGCCGCGTTACATATACTGGACCGCAATGTCCATAAAAAATCTCCCGAGAGGAACATAGTCCAAACGGTATACTCCAAAACCTCACTGATGTAGATAATACATAAATATATCTCTCATGCAACAATTCTACTACTTCTCAATGCATCAAAGAGTGATATACCACATGCTTATGGTTTTTGAAAGTATTCTTGGACTCACGTTGGCCCTTTATGCATCTTTGAAATATGACTCATGTGAAATGTCAAAATGCTCTATATCATGCTTCTAGTTCATGTATAAACTATCATGAAGAAATCAAAAATATATCATCATGCTCGGTTTGCAACATAGCAATTTCTATACATTTCACTCAACAAATATGCTTCTATTCTCATTGATCAAATAATACAATTTAATCATACTTTCATAATAAATCATATTCTCAAAGGATCATGATTCTATACTCAATAAAAATCTTATCTGATCACAAAATCAATAATTTCTCAAACACAGAGAACTTAGCAAAATATGCACTATGTAACAATTTTTCACATAATCCTTCATAACATATTTGTTTTTAATCCAAATTCAACGAAATCAAAGCCAAAACGTGCGTCGAGACGATCCCGAAGAGCCGAGCCACAAGGGCCGTAACACTCGGTCCGAAACGACACGTAGCTGAGCCACAAGGGCCCGACCACTGTACAAAAATCCTTCACAGACAATACCCGGGGACCTGGGGCGGGACTCTTCATAGTCCGCCCCTGGAGTCCTGTTGATGTGTCGGGACTAGGCAATGGCCCTCCTCTAGGGCCGTGCCCTAGTCCCGTGCCACCACGGCTCTAGCCGGCGTCCCTTCTGATGGGCCGCGGCTAGGGCCGCCAATCTAATCTGGTGCACACTGTGTTGTGCACCAGATGCGATTTTACCTGCAAAAACTCATCCAAACAATTCCAAAACGATCTCAGCAACTCACAAACACATACTAGATCACTTCTAAGCATAAACACATCAAAAGATCATAGTTTCTACTTATTTCTACTCAAAACTAGGCTTCACAGAGCCAAATCTAAAGAGGAATTCATGGCGTTATACCTCTTGTAGTCTAGCTTCTTGCTTGGATCTCTTCTTCCTCTTGACCTAGCTTGAGCCTCCTTCACCACCTACACTTCCCAACACACCTTCTATCCTTAGACTAGAACCTCAAAGACTAAAGAAAACTAGAAGAGAAAAGAGGCTAGAATGAAGGATGAACAAGCTTACTAGGTTGTTGTTTCTCTCCTTGTTGTTGGCAGACAAAGATATGAGGAAGATGCAAAGAATGAGATCAGGAAAATGAGATGGAATAAGAGGGTTTATATAGGGTTCAAAACGCTAGGATGATTCACAATGATTGGTTGAGGGCAAAGGGGTAATTTCTCAAGCTAAAAGATGATTCTATAAGGGATTTTGGATGTCTTGTGGTCCACCATGTAACATGAACCATGGGCTAGAAATGTTATCTTTTATTACTTTAGGGTTGAAAGTGAATTTTCCCAAAAGCTATATGGATGAATACTTGTTCAAAATTCTCTTTTGAATTTTCTCGGTCTCACTCAAATAAAATTCTCGATTTAAATCTTGGTACGCGAAGTACCCGAAAACTTTGGAATTTTTGAATAGAATCCATTTTTGGTGTCAAATTAATTTAAAATGTGACGAAAATATTTTATTCAAACACCGATTGATCGCAAAAATTTTAATGGAGTGAAAACGGCTATTTTGGAACTTCTTAATACCGAATTTATAAAATGAAATTTTGGGTTGTTACAGCTATACACTACTCGGGCGGTAGAGTAGCGCCTAGCGCTTAGACGGCTAACTAAAAAAAATAGTGCACGTGTGTGGGTTTATGCCATATTATATATATATATATATATATATATATATATATATATATATATATATATATATATATATATAATTAATTAATTAAAAAATTAGCAAGGCCGACTAAGCCGAGTTAACTTGGCGGACTGGCCGAATTCGGCGCGTAGCGGTCGAGGTAATTCGCCTCAGCCTAGGGGCGTCTAGGCGGATTTTTGCAACAGTACTTTTACAATACGTTTGCAACAGTGCTTTTGACAGTGTCAATTTTGATCCATTGTTAAAATTTCTATTTACTCACCATTAAACTTGTAATGTTTTGATTAGATTAATTTCCGTTTGCACTGGACTGTTAAACTTGTAATGTTGATTCTAAAAGAGTGTGCTGGTGGAAGGGCAAATTATATCGTGCACCACGCCGCACGTAGCAATGTGCGCCCAGGCACAAAACGCGCGTGTTTCATGCTGACCTCACTCCGTCCATCTGAACAGATCAAACCTCATTATGTGTATTCAGTTAAAATTTTATGTGTATTGTGTTATGAGTTTATGTGTATTTAGTTAAGAGTTTATGTGTATTATGTTAACCAAACCCCATTATGTGTATTCAGTTAAAAGTTTATGTGTATTGTGTTATGAATTTATGTGAATTCAGTTAAGAGTTTATGTGTATTCAGTTAAGAGTTTATATGTATTATATTATGAGTTTATGTGTATTATGTTATAGTTTATGTGTATTATGTATTATGTTAGATTATGTGTATTCTGTTATGAGTTTATGTGTATTCTGTTATGAGTTTATGTGCATTCGAAACAGAGATTTTTTTTTAACAACTAAACAAAACGACGTCGTTTTGGGAGGCGCGGGGCGCACATTGCTGTGCGCGCCCTGGGGCAATTTATATCCTACACCACGGCGCGCGTTGCATTGTGCGCCCAGGTGCAAAACGACGTCGTTTCAATTTTTTTTTTTTTTTTTGAAATTTCCCGCCCCAGTGTTTGGTAGTTAATTTCTCTTTTTAAAAAAAAAAAAAAAAAAACCCATGTTCAAAAATGTACATAATGTTATACATGAATGTACATAATTGTATACATGAATGTACATAATTGTATAACAAAATATACATACTGTTTTTAAAAGATAATACACATAATCTAACATAATACATAATAAACATAAACTTTTAACCTAATACACATCAACTCTTAACATAATACACAAAAATTTCCTGATTCAGATATACATAATTGTATAAAAAAGAGTGTACATAATTGTATAAAAAATATACATAATCACAACAACTTTCTACCGCGCTTTGGGAGGCACGCGACGCACAGTGCTATGCGCGCCGAGGTGTAGGGTATAACGATTGGCACCCTGGTGCACGGTATAACAATTGTGGTGGAAGCATATTTTTGCCTAAAGGTCAAGTTGTCAACAATTCGATGGTCCATCAATGTCGGAGATTAATGGGCTTGTAAGATGTTGATCCAAAAAAATAGGACGCATGTTTTAAACTACGGATTTTAATAATAATAGGGCAATCCTAATTCCGGCAAGTTATGCTAGGGAGTCGTGTCCATCTTACGAAGTGGACATGGTTTCAAAACGATGTTATTTTGGTGAAAAATAATGTCGTGTCAATTAAAAAAATTACTCTCTTTTATTGTTAACAGCGTTTATTTTCAAGAAGTCTATGTTCATAATTACTGAACTCTATATATGTTCATAATTATAAAACTCTATGTTCATAATTTGTGAACTTCATATTCACAACTTTTGAACTTAATATTCACAATTATTGAACTATATATTCACAATTACATAACTCTATGTTCATAATTATAGAACTCCATGTTCATAATTATAGAATTCTAGAAGTTTATGTTCATAACTACTGAACTCTATGTTCATAACTACTAAACTCTATGTTCATAATTATAGAACTCTATGTTCATAATTTTTGAACTCACAATTATTGAACTCTATATTCACAATTACAGAACTCTATCTCCATAATTATAGAACTCTATATTCATAATTTTTGAACTCTATATTCATAATATTTGAACTCTATATTCACAACGTCTTGCTGAGTTGTTTTGACAAATTAAATTTTAAAAAATCTGATTGGTGGAGGAAAACGGTGCCACTAACGGCAGCGTTACTCTAAAATTTTCAAACGGCATTGGAATGTGTCCACCTTGCAAGGTGGACACGGTTCCACGGCATAACAATTGTCCTAATTCCCAACTAAATAGATCAGACAGTTAGTTTGATATTTTCAAGTTGGCAATTTATATCATGGACTAGGGTTTACATAACATTATGGACCCTGGATCGAAATGATGCGGTACAGAATTCATACTCGTAAAGTACAAAATTTCATAACACATGACAAAAAAAAAAAAAAAAAAAATCACAACACAAGACGCATACACATGTTATATATTTACTTATTTTCACAACACAAGACAGAAATTCATAACATGAGAATTTCACAACACAAGACATAAATTCATAACATGAGACAATTACTAATGTATTTCAGGTACATAATCCATATTCTTAAGGTACAAAATTTCATAACACAAGACACAAAAATTCACAACATAATACACATGCACTAGAGTCCACAATGCACTGTGAACCCTAGTCCATGGTATAAGTTCCAAGTCCTGAATGTTTCAAGTTTGATTTCTCATGAGAGCTGTCTATTGGCTTTCTTAGTTTGAGACGGTCAGCTATGAACAACGTAAGCTGGTTTATTTTTTTGTGGTCATTTGTCGGTATGGTCATAATGTGGGTTTCACCTAGAGCTCACATTTGGGTTTTCCCATAAATAAAAGGATTATTGTTATTATTATTATTATTATTATTATTATTATTATTATTGAGAATTTGTTCCTGAGGCTTGTATAATTAGATTATAAGATTTTTATAACATGATTTATAGTAATTACGTCTTACTAATTTGCACAACTGCACAAGATTCCTAGACAAAGGTGACTAATGAGTGAAAAATAAATAAATAAATAAGGAGGGTGGATAATGGGAAACTTTAAAGAAATTTATACTTTTGAAATATAGATGTAACTACTTTTGGAGTTTTGGTTACTAAATTGTTAGGATGACATATTTAATATCTTCATTAAATTAAGAATTTGTCAGAATTTATCATTAATCTTCAAAAACTTTTTTTTTTTTTTGAAATAATAATGGTGCATTATTAAATGAGCATAGAAATAGAATAAGGAGGGACAGAGTCCCAGTATAAAGCTTGGTCCTAATCAAATGCTAACGAAGCTAAAATATGAGCAGCTAAATTTAAAGTTCTAGTGATGTAATTTAAAGAACAATAATCAAAAGACGATATAAGTGTCCTGCACTGGTCAGCAATCATTCCAATGTGGGATAAAGTAGTCATTGAGCTTGAATGTATGATGTTCCGTAGCTCCATGCAATCAGTAAGTAGATCCACTTCAAGTGTATTGTGATCCTTAAGCCATGAGAGAGCCTCCTTACAAGTTAACGCTTCTGCCATGAGAGGCGAAAAAGCACCAAGCAACTTGCCACATTTTGCCGCCATAAAAGAACCATCGTGGCCTAGTAAAACCATCCCATACGTCGCATCTCCCATGGTTTGCCTGTAGCCAGCATCTACCCAACATTTCATCCTGGCTTGTGTGGGGGGCGTCGACACAGCCGAGGGCGGCGTAGGCCGCTGCCGCTGGTGAACTTGGCGGAAGGCAACCGCGGCGATCCGTGAACGGCGGAATTGCGGGCTTGCCATATATGGTAGAGCACACCCACCACCATTCCTACTTGCTCCTCTGTCAAGGCGTTGAAAAACTCATAAGCCATAAGGGAAAAGAATGCACCGCAATATTTGTAACAGGTAATTGTGAAACACTCCAAACCCTCCTAGAATAATCACGAGATATTAGAGCATGCATAACACTTCCATGTGCTAAATCATGCAGGGCTCACTTCTACCCTTTTATAATCAAATTTTCTATGGTGGGTAGGATATCACATATATTCTCTATAGGAATGTCTTCCATCTAGGCGGAATCTTTAATTTCCACATTGTAACCCATTTATCAAAACCACCCAGATTATCAGCATAATCCCCTACTATTCGCCTATAATCTTCAAAAACTTTAGTTGCCCAAAGTTATTAATGAAATTTCACTTCTTATTTCTCCTTTTCTTTCACCCTAAATCTTCCTAAATTCATGACTTAGTGCCAAAAACATAGATCATTAAACTTTACTATATATGTATTGATTTTTAAAATTTTACTCATTAGCGTAATGGTAGTTGGTGATGGGTGGTATACGAGTTTATGTTTCCAGTCTCTAAATCGTGGAGTTGGAGTGTGAATTAGGGAAATATGAGGTGAACTTTCATAACCAATTCTCATTAACTAGGATTCTGAAGAGTGAAGAGTAATGGAACCGGTAATGGAGGGCGGGACTGAATATTCAATTTCATTAATAACTTTTAATAAATTACCTACAGCAGTTCGTCTTGGACCAGATCTAGAACTGTTCTCAACAGTTTATGTAGTCATAAATCCTATTGTATTCATTGAAATCTGTTGACTTTGTATACCATTCCATTGTAAATAAACGATCTTAGCATAGATCCTTTGGAGTCTTGAAATTCTTTTTTTTTTTTTTTTTTGAGAACTAAATTCTATTTCTAAAATAAAAAGAAAATGGAAACAGCAACCTTAGACCAGTTTTCATCGTTGGTAATAATATTAAATTTTAGGCCTATTTCAGTACTTAGACCAGTTTTCATTCATGTTATAATTCACTTGGGTCATTGAGGTTTATGAACCTAATTTGAATGATTAAGTGCTATAGTTATTGTCTCGGCCTGTTTAGATACATTAAGGATTTAAGGATTTAATTGTTATTTTGGCCATTAAGAACTATAACTATTGTTTAAGTTGATTAAATTTTTAATCTATCAATAGTTTTTCAGGGTCTTGATAATATTAAGTCTTTAATTTTAGGGCAAACACAATATAGTTGGTATATTGTCTGTATAATGGTAATTTGGTTATTACCTTAACTTTAGTCTCCCTAAGTATCATAATAGTCATGGTTAATTATTATGTGGTAAAATTGAGATTAGCATTTGGCATCCCTTAATTACAGTTTTGCTGTTTATTAAGTTAAATTCGGCATTATTAATTACTGTTATTAAGTTTAGGGGCTTATCCTGTTTATTACCTCTTCATAATAATTATTTCATGGTAATCTGCTATATTTGGTATATTGGCATGATTACCACTTCTTTTTACATGACTATTAATGTTGGTAATTTAGTCCTACCAATAAATTTTTTAAATGTACCATTGGACGCTGCATCGAGGCTAGTGACACCGACAGTGAAGATGGGAGAATTCTGAAGTTTTTCTTCTCTTGTGGATCATCATCGTTGTTAGCGCAATGGAGAGATGCGGTTTGCATCATTAAGGTTAGCCATTAATTATCTTTTATGGTTATTATTGATAATTAATGCTACAGTTACAGTTAACCGCTAATTTGGACTAGTCGCATAGTTTATCTTTAGAAAAATGGAAACATTAAAAGGTGCATCACCATACTTTGATTTGTTATTATTATTAATGTTAATAGCGATTATAATGTTACTTATTGCTATTAATAATTAATTAATGATAACATTAATATTTTTATGGTATTCAGATATGTACCTTGAACTATTTCCAAATAAATTTATGTGACAATACTCCAGTTTAGAAAATATTTTTTCTGGACATTAATATTTTTCGGACTTCAAATTTTATTAAGCTTTCAAAATTTTATCCGAAAACGGTTATAAATGTTAGCGGTTTTAACCATTGTTTTTCCATATTTAGTCTCCTACTTAATGTGATAATATTATTATGGCTATTATTGCTATTTTGATTATTTGCAATTTTGCCATTAATAATAATAATATTATCAACTGGATTATGGAGAGTGATTTTGAATCAATTTAGTAATTTTGGAAAAACATATTTTCTAGGCAATTGACTTTTGCCATTAATTCCATAATTCATTTAGTTCTTGGAATTATGATTTTAGTTCTGATTGCCCATGTTTGTTTAAGTATGAATAAATGAATATTTTGTTTAAATTCATATCCTTTAGTTGGTTCATACTCTTTAGATTGTTTTATGCATTCGATCACATTAAGTGCATAATATTAAGTTTAATTATGTAATTAGGATTTGTGAGATTTTAATTTACAAATGATAGCATATCCTTTTGGTTTGATATTGTTTGAATTAATTTGTAAATTCAATTATTTCTCATGAATTTGATCTTCATGCATTAAAATATTTTACCATGGACTTACAGTTTAGAAATTCATAGTATATATTCAGTACATTGTTATTCAAAATGTTGGGTCTCTTTTGGTTTGGACTCATTGGAGTTTGAATATTAAGTTTATACTTTGAAATCCCATATTGTAAATTGTTTTAAGTTGTGCAATTTATTTGGAATATATGAGTTTAATGTTTAATTTTATGCATATTTGTCCTAAGCATAATATTATGTTTTAAATTATGCAATTTTATTATGCCTTTAGCAATGCATACTTTGAGATGGAATTATATCAGTTCCTATTTAAGTTGGACTTATGCATAAACTTTAGTTGCGGTAGTGCCTGGATTTAAGCACGTTTAGTCCGCTAATTTAGTTCACCATTTAAGCTTTAATCATAGGTGAACCCTACAGTTTACTGGTTTATACCCCAAACAGTTATACATTAAGTATATATGAATCGGGGAGACATACTATTTTTAATGGCCATGACTTAAGAACATCTTGTGCCACTAGTCTCCTTAAATTGATACTCTATTTAAGGAATTGGTTTTCAGTGAGACTTAGTCTCTAACCACCTTTCCTTGGAGTATATTTAGATTTTCCCATCACAATCTGGTATAATCTGTTTGTCAAAATTTTAAGTATTCCTTGCCAATGTGATTTGATTTCGGTTCATTAAAGAATAGCCAAAGCATCTTTAATTTACTGAAGTCTTTTAAGATTTAAATTTTGGTTAATTAAGGAATAGCTACAGCATATTCAGCTACCTAAGATTATTAAGTTTTAATCACATAAAGTTTAGGCAAGGATTTGATGATTGTCTAGTGATCTTATAATTTTAATTTGGTTCGGGAGTAGCCACAGCATCCTTAATCTGTTAAAATTATATATTAAGCGGTTTATTTTGATCACATAAAGTTTTGGACATATCATTTGTGATTAATTGTATGTAATATGATGAAATTTAGCCCACAGGCAATTTCGTTATATTTGTATGATTAATCAGGATGAAATACTGGACTACGGTCATAATTTAACCCACAGGCAATTATGTATCGGAATGTAGTTTAGTAGTTTTATCAGTGATGATAGAAATAAATTTATTTATTTGCTTTATGGTTATTTGTAAATAATTTCTAATTCTATCATGAAGTCTAATTTTATGATGTAAACTTTAGATCATATTTCTTAATTTGTCCACAGGGATTAAGAAAAGTAGCATGATCTCTTAAGTTTTTTATCATAATGATAGGAATGAATCTTATTGACTAAAACTTTAGCCTACAGGCAAGTTTTATGTCATTTGATTCTTCAACTCATTTGATAATAGTTTCATCATAAATAAAAATTTTCAGTTAGATCTAATTGAGTAAAACTTTCGCCCACAGGCAAGTTTTATGTCACTAGATTCTTCTGGCTCTTTAGCAATTGTGAAAAATATTATCATAAGGGTTTCTTAATTGGATTTAATAGAATTAAAACTTTAGCCCACAGGCAAGTTTTATGTCAATAAATCCCTTAACCCATTAGATAATAATTTTATCACAATTTCTTAGAATTTATAAATTTAGCTTATTTATAATTCTAAGTTTCATGGTTTGCATTGGCAAAACATGTATTCAGTCACTTCCCAAAATTTAGCCACTTTTATTAATTAATTCACGAATCTTGCTCGGTTCTTCGGACTAACTGTGGTAAGTTACGTGATTTGACATACCTCTTGGATTCCAATAATGATAAAATGTATCTTTTGAGTCAAATTCTAACTTGGTTTTGAAAGATGTATTTTGTTTTTTTTTTAGTATGTCCAACTATGGTGGGGAAATATATCTTCATTATTTAGTTGGACTTTAATTGGAACCAAAAATTGATTATTTAGTATGTCCATCTAATGGTGGGGCATTATGTCTTCATTTGTTAGTTGGTCAATAAATCAATTATGAGTATGTATATTATTAAGTTCACTTTATTAATTTCACTGAAAATGTTTTAATCAGTGGGAGTGATCATTTAGAAAAAGATCATTAAGATGCTCCACTAAAGTTTATGGATTTAATTGACTTCATACATCCTAAATTTGATTGTATGTCAAACAATAAGTCCAAATATTCCACAAGTATTAATCTTGTATTTGTTCATATAAATTCATAAGTTCAAATGATTGAATATTTGGTTGTGCAACATATTTATGAAAATGTTGTAACCAAGGAATTTATTAGAACAAAAACATTTAATTTGTGGTGCACTGTCATTTAATAAATTCTTCAGTGTTTAATAGAGCCTTTAGTTTCTTCAAAATTGATCCTGGGTCATTTCAGTTGTAAGGCTCAAAACAATTTTGTGGGACATATAAGTAAGACTCATTATGTTCAGTTCATTTAAAGTGAACATTGAAGTTATTTGGGAAGTTATGGTGTATGATTAAGATTCCAAATTTATGGACTTAGACCTTTGGTTTATTATCTAAGTTATTGGAATGCTTCTGTGACTTGACTATCTTTTGGCTATTTTTGATGAGTGGGAGTGACAGACGTGTCAACTTCAAGCTCTTAGCTGTTAGAGATAGTACTTAAAGTTAACTTATAAAGAAGTCATGGAATATAGTTAGCATTATGCTAACATTAAGAGATCTCTACTTAAGGCATGCTTATAAAGTTTTAGAGATCATACAGTGTACTCTTTTGTACAATTTGGATGCGTTTTCTCCTTCAGTTGTGCACATAATGTATTTTGAGAAACATCCCTTAAGGTACCGAGAATAAACATAGGGTTTGTTCATTAAGGACCTAAGTTGGAGAATTAAAATGCATGTGACCATAATGGATACTACTCTGATTAAATAGAGGACATATCACTATGATTCGTGTGTTTTGTTCTTTGATGAAGGTTGTGCTGGTAGTTGCACCAAGTGGGAGAATGTAAGATTTTCCCCTATAATATATGTTGTATATTATATATTAGGGTCTTAATTAAGTGGTGCAAGTTGACTAGGCTTATTAAGTGGTCTGGTTGGACTTAATAACTAGTAGTTGTTAGTCAACCAAACTCTATGCCTAATATAATCCTGGATTGATGGGATACAGGATGGTGGTTGTTAGCACATTCAGTTACGGTACTCAGACTGCTCAGTAGACACCAATACACCATCTAGGGTTCTGAGTCAGGTCTGAGGCAAAACATGGCTAACGGTCTACCGTTAAAAGGCAACACAACAGGAACATCAACTATGGCTGGAGATCTACACTACGCTTCCACTATCATACGAGGTTAGGTTTCTCGTATACTATGGTTCATATAGTTAGACTATTGTATATCTAACACGCCTTATATACCGCTTTTGTAGAGATTAAATTGAAAGTAGAAATAATGTCTATAATACAATGTCTATTCCACGGTATATTACTCTATAATAATTCAAAAACCAAAAGTATAATTTTTTCGGACTTTAATTTAGTCATTTCAATATGTGGACACTAGTGCTCTGGCAGTAACCTTGCATTATTATACTTGATTTTAAAAAAAAATGTTTCTTGGCATATATATGCTGTAAAGATGAAATGACTTGTTCTTTGGATTGGGTGGAATTGTTTGGGGATGGAGGATTTGAATTCTTTTAGGTGAGAATTGAACTCCATATGGCACAACCTCAAAAATGCTTCAGTCTAATCTGCAGAATGTTCTTCATACATAGAATACCTTAACACTACCCAGTTGTAATGCTAGGCTTTAATTTAATGGCAATTGATTTTGTCTTGTTGCAGCATGGGATGGCATTTAGCTGGAATCTTTCTGCAGACAGACAAAATGGAATTCATTAAATTATTGCTAATATTTTTGAGATATATATTAGTATAATTGTGTAAAATATGCAGTCTAAATCCACATTCTTAAATTATATCTATATGTAACATCAACAAAATAACTTACATTCTGCAATAACCAATATATATATATATATATATATATATATATATATATATATATATATATATATATATATATATATATATATATATAGTTACATGTGTTTTCAAAGTGTATTTGGAGAAGTGATTGAGATAATTTATTTACTGCTCCAATTGTTCGGTCTAAATTGTAAATTGTTAGTGCGATGTGTTTTCCAATTGAAAGTTGTGCTATTAGATTGAGTGAGAGAGAAACGGGAGAAGTAAGAATCTAGTGAAAGTTGTGCTATTAGATAGACTAAACTGCATTACTACTTTGATTTTACTGTCTCGCTCTAACTACTTTTTTTTATAGTGTGTTTGAAAGAATGATTAGACTGATTGGGGCAATTTATTGTTCCAATCATTCTTCATAGGGTCCGAACTGTTAACTGTTAGAGCAATATGCTCCAACCGCAAAAATTTAACTAGAGAAGTAAGAATCTAGTGAAAGTTGTTTTATTAGAGCGACTAAGCAACGTTACTACTCTAATTTTACTATCTCGCTCTAACTGGTGGCTTTAGGGTGCATTTGAAAGAGTAAATTAGAGTGATTGGATCGAGTTATTATTCCAATTATTCTTTAGAGGGTCCGAACTATAAATTATTGTAGCAATATGCTCCATCTGCAAAAATTTATCTAGAGAAGTAAGAATTTAGTGAAAGTTGTGCTATTAGAGCGACTAAACGGTTACTACTCTAATTTTACTGTTTTGGTCCAATAGGTGTTTTTTAGGGTGCATTGAAAGATCAATTAGAGTGATTGGGGTAATTTATTGTTCCAATATATTGTTCTTCTAAGGGCCCGAACCGTAAATTGTTGAAAAAAAATTTAAATGGAGAAATAAAAATCTAATGAGGATTGTATTGTTAAACAACTATAATACTCTTTAATTTTACTGTCTCGCTTTTACTATTTTAATTTCAGTATTCTCATTTACCACCCAGTAACCCCAATACCCCCTGAACTAATCGACCAGCCCCAAACATTACAAGCACTAAAAGACATCAGCTACTTGCCATTACCAATTAGTCAATTGATTACATTGCATTTTTGAATGGCACTTCCAATTCCATCATGGTTTTTACTTTTTAGTCCTACATTGTTCCTAAAATGTTGAATTCTCCAATCCCAAGAGCTTCCATGCCCCGAATCTACAGAACATCTGAGAAGATACTTTTACTTATTGCGCACAAGCAGTCCCTTCACTTTGAGATGTTACTCCCACACTGCTGCTGGTGAAACTCGATCTCATATTATTATTTCCAAACTTCAACCGGCCAACTGAAAACTGTCCATACAGTCAACTTTTTAGTCATACATGTTCTTATGTTTCCGTACCTTTAATTTCCAACACTTCTTTTTCTTTGGTACCTTTCCAAACATTTTTTTTCCTTCCCAACATAATTACGCATGACATCCATACACAATTTCAATTCCCCCCAACCCCCAGTCCAAGAAAATCTATTGGAATTCTGTTGCTTGTTCTCAGGTGCACAAATAGTCTCGTCCGATGTGATACATGTTATGCTTATAGTTACTTTATATCTATTTCGCTTCATCAAACAATATTTATTTTTCGAGAATACAAATAACTTTGAATATTAATCTACTACTTTAGATCTTTTAAACGTTTTTACAGTTTACGTGCATCTTTGGGATACATCTATACAGAGAGTTGTGAAAGTAATGGTTGTGAAAACAGAAAAATGTACTTGAATTCTTAGCTCAGAATTAATTTGATTAAAAATGTAAGTATAACTATACAATGTAATATTTAATATTTTTAAAAGTTTAATCATGCTAGTATTATGTTGATTTTAAAGTTTATTGTTACTTGTATTATTATTTGAATTTAAAAAAATTTTCGAAAGAAATTTGAATTTAAAATAACTACTTTAATTATATAACTAACGTATTTAAATAAAACTTGTAAATAAAATAGCAGGCGATATTTGTTGAAAAACTCCACAAAAAACTTATTCATTTGAAAAAGATTATTTATGTAAGAACTATATTTATTTTATATCTAATTTCTCCTCTTTATATATGTGGAGTCAAATTAATTATAATAATTGAGGTTTAAATGAATATATACACAAATTATATTAAATATAAAACTTTACCAATAAATTTAAACACAATAAACTTTTTTCCATCCATATAGAGATATGGAGATATAGAGATAAAGCTATAATTATAAAATATAAATACACATAATAACTTCAAAAAATATGTATAAATACATCTATCCATACAATTAATGCATTCATACTTGCTAATCCTGTTTCTATCAAAATGCATTCACACTTTGGAGGGAAATATTTTGTGACTAGATTCTGCTTTATATATATATATATATATATATATATATATATATATATATATATATATATATATATATATATATATATATATATATATATATATATATATATATATATATATATATATATATAGAAGATAAAGATAAAGATAAAATAGCTCCAATGGTCCTCCGAGTATTAGCAATTTACCAATTGTGGTCATCCGAGTTTTAAATGACCTCCAATGGTCCTCTATATTTTAAAAATTAACCAGATCCTAATTCTTAAAACCCCAAGTTTAAAATGACCACGAGACGTCCTAAAAAGACCACATGTGGTTATTTTTTAAAACATGGAAGACCATTGAAGGTTATTTAAAACTCAGATAACCACGACTGGTAAATCGCTAATACTCAAAAGGTCATTAGAGGTATAAACTCAATCTATATACTATATTTATATGTACAAATATTAATTGTTTATTTTTTTAAAATATATTAATTTTTTTGAATTATAGAAACTACACCAATGTTATAGCTAGGGAGTTTTCAGAGTTAGCTTATAGCTAATTTTGACTTATTTGACCACTATTAGCCGTTTCACCTATTTGAGTTGGTCAAACAACCAATATATGTATTTGATTAATTAACTTTTTGTAACAACTTATTATTTCAAAACACTAAAATTCAAAAAACTGCTCAAAGCAGCTTAAACGCTAACAACTAATTTACTAAACATCTTTCTACAATCAGCTAATGCTATCAACTAGTCAAACTCACTAACTCAATTAACTAACAACTATTTACCAAATATCCCCATAAACACTACTGGAAATTCTGAAATTTCCGACCACCTGAAAATGATCTTAAATTAAGTTGATACCAAAAAGTCCAAAAAGTAGTCAGAAATAGCAACAAAGGTTTTTCCAGATACCAAAAGTGGTCGAAACAAGACTTTCAACTTGATTTATGATCACTTTCAGGTGGTCGGAAATTTCAGAATTTCCAGTAGTGAAAATTTCTCCATAAACATTAGGGGTATTGAAATCCAAAACATGGGTCCGGATTCTGTCCAACAGCCGGCAATATGACCAAGCTCCAACTTTGCTCCTAACACTCATTCCCCCCTTTCCTTCCACTTACATGCTAGGAATATACTCCTGCGAATAATTACAACTATTTTAATCAATTTTATATATATAACGAATTAAATAAATCAATGTTCAATTGTGAGCATGTAAATGTGTATTGTTCAACACTACAAAGTGTGTCATTTGACATATAAAAGTGCGTTAAAACTACAACTCTAAAAATGTAGCATGCAAAATTACAATGTACATTCAATTATATGTAAAAGTGTAGTTAGAAAATTATGTTTTTAATTATATCATTAAGTATGTACATTTTATAATATTACTTAGTGCACTCAAAGTTTGTAATAATTATAAAATTACCCAAATATTTGAGTCTTTTTATTTTTAAGGTATTAGGGTAGGAGACACAAACATTATATATAAAGTTTAAAAATATTACATTTTTTCTTTAAAATATTACACTTTCCCTTATTAGTATTACATTTTCTTTCCGACCTCACTCATCTTACGGAAGTATGACCCTTTCTTAAGATGGAAGGTGTTGATGTGAATACTCCCTGGCCTATATATGCATATATTATGTATGTATATTATTAAATAAATCATGTATATATATATCCTTTAAATCCAGGATTAATTCACCCATGATTTCTTGCCGTCGTGATGGTCGTGATTCGCCACCAAAACAACCCTTCACCACAACCTCCGCCGCCACAGACCACCATGGACTCACCCAAGCTTGATGATGAAGAAACCACTACTAGGTCTGACGACTCATCCGTCACCACCTTGGAAGCCATGGGAACCGCCACTTACGCCACCGGGACGGCTCTCACTTCATCGTCCACCAAGCCGCACGCGACCTCCAGGGACCCATACTGGACGGCCATGTGCGGAGTCCTATCGGAAACCGCGGCGCTCAGCCTCGACGACTTCCGCTTCATCCGGAAGCTCGGCGGCGGCGACATCGGCACCGTGTACCTGGCGGAGCTGAAGGGGTCGGAGGGGTGCCTGTTCGCGGCGAAGGTGATGGACAAGGAGGAGCTGGTGAGTCGGAATAAAGAGAGCAGGGCGAGGACGGAGATGGAGATATTGCGGAGGCTGGACCACCCTTTCTTGCCCACTCTCTACACTACGCTCGACTCCGATCAGTGGCTCTGCTTGGTCATGGAGTTCTGCCCCGGCCGAGACCTCCACGTCCTCCGCCAACTCCACCCGGAAAAACGGTTCGACGATGCCGCCGTCCGGTTAGTATTTTTTGATTTCGTTAACTTACACGCCGCCGCCGGTCTCGTCTCCCATCGTTATAACACACGCTGTAGTGGGACATAAAAACAGCTAACGGCATTATTGTCCATTTTAATTTTTGGGTCACACTTGTGAGACGGGTCGAGTTGATTTGAATTAACATGCAATATTATACTTATATGTACAAATGTCATACTTATATGTTTAAATATAATACTAATTAGGAATAAAATATTTGTTACTTATAAAAGTATTATATATTTTTTTAAAAGTATTAAATTTTTTCATATAAATAATAAATAATTTATTCCTAATAAGTATAATATTTACACATAGGTATGCCATTTGCATGTTAATTCAATGCAACCCGACCCTTTGAGACGATCTAACACCAGTTTTTACCTTAATTTTTAGTTTTTAGTTTTTTTTTTGGTTATAAAATAATTGATAGTTTGATACTTTGACCACACGAATACAATTTAAAAACAAAAAAATAGAATTTGTGTGAGACTGTTTCATGAATTTTTATCCGTGAGAAGGGATTTTTTTAAAAGTGTTTTAATTTTTAATTAAAAAATTATTAATGATACATTTTAATCTTTTAAAATTATTAATGGTATATTTTAATCTTTTAAAATTATTATGGAATCTCGTAAATTACAATTGACCAGGTTATGTAAATAGTCATATTCTTTCTATTTACACCACTTATGTAGTTATGTACTTGTTGAAATTTTCACATTTTTACAATTTCAATGTTATTTACATCCACTTTTCATTAGGGATGGTACAAATAGCAACACCCTAGTAAAAAGTATATATAAATAACATTGAAATTGTAAAAAGATTAAAATGTACCATTAATCATTTTTTAATTAAAAATTAAAAAGAAAAAACATTTAAAAAAAAAAAACCCTCGTCTTATTCGGTGAAAAAGCGAGGGGTTGCTTTCTCCAAGTTTGACTAACTTTAAAGAATGTGGTGTAAATAACAAGTTGTTTTATTTACACCGCATATAAAACTAACATACCTATCAAAGAGTTGTGTAAATAGCAATAAATGTGGTGCAAATAGATTTTTTTTTAAATGGTATCTTGCACATTTATAAGACGATGTTACACAAAGTTTTGTAAATAATAGTACTATTTTCACTACTTACAAAAAGATCACTTGTTGAAAATTTTATTTGAAAGTGGAATCAAAATGACAGCAAAACAAGATAAGAGGTGATTGGCTTGAATTATTAGACTTAAATAAATATAAAACTATTGAGTTTGTATGCAATAATGGTGGAACTGAAGTTAGGGTTGCCAGGTTCTATGCATCGGAAGTGGTGGTTGCGTTGGAATACCTGCATATGATGGGGATCATCTACCGTGATCTAAAGCCGGAAAATGTGCTCGTCCGATCCGACGGTCACATAATGCTCACCGATTTCGATCTCTCGCTCAAGTGCGACGACTCAAAGTCGATCCCGCAGCTCGTTCACGACCAAGCTTCTCCGGCGACAGATCGGCAATCAGGCGACCGCCGCGCGAAATCGACCGCGTTTTTCAAATCGACGTGCATCCTGCCGTACTGTGCAGCGCCGCCGCACGCGCCGTGCTTTCGCCTCAGGCAGAAGCGGAGGAGGAGGCGGCGGGCGGGGCCGGTGGTGGTGGCGGAGCCGATCGACATGCGGTCGATGTCGTTCGTCGGGACGCACGAGTACTTGGCGCCGGAGGTGGTGACGGGGGAGGGGCACGGCAACGCCGTGGACTGGTGGACGCTAGGGATTTTCATCTACGAGTTGTTGTACGGAACGACGCCGTTCAGAGGGCTTGAGGACGATTTCACACTGTCCAATATTGTGGCGAGATGCCTTGACTTCCCCAAGGATCCAGTGGTTCCTGGCGCAGCTAAGGATCTGATCGCAAAGCTCTTAATCAAGGACCCCATCCAGAGGATGGGGTCCACAATGGGGGCCACATCCATCAAACACCATCCCTTCTTTGATGGGGTGAATTGGGCACTGTTGAGATGCGCATCTCCACCGTACATTCCTCAGCCTTTCAATCACAAGGAATTTGTATCATCTAGTGATCTTGATGCTTCTATAGAGTATTTTTGATTTGTTTATTTTAAATAATCGAATTTCAATTCTTTTGTCAGTGAAAAGAAATCATGTTTTACACATAAATATGCTATAAAGTGAATTTTAGAGTACATTTATTACTTTTGGTGTGCACAATGCATACAAGCTAGTTTTTTTTTTTTTTTTTTTTTTTTTTTTTTTTTTTTTTTTTTTTTTTGGTTTTAGGATTTTTTGGGCCTAGGGAGGTCCAACACAACCTTGGTCAGTGGATTCACCTTTCAACAAAAGTTTTGGGGAATGGCAATAATAGCAGCAGCAAAGAAAATGGTGTCTCTATATTATCTGGGCATGGATTCGCCTCTTTTACATTCACGGAGGGGCCTTTATATAGTAGGCCCTCCTCTAACCGAGTTAAAGCACATTAAAGGGCTACTTAAGGCTAATTACATCTTGGGGCCGTTGGTGCCGTTACCGGGCCGGCCAACTGCTCTTTTGGGCCTCTCAATGGCTCGCCTGGTCAGGGATAGTTATGCTGTGCATCCGTATGCACCATGCCAAAACGACGTCGTTTTATTAAAAAACGCGCGTCTCCCTTTTAAAAAAAATTCAAGTTCGATTCCCAGCAACAACATTATATTGTTCGGAATTTTAGTTCATAGATTATGGAATTATAGTTCATTGATTATGGAATTATAGTTCATCGATTATGGAATTGTAGTTCATCGATTCTGAAATTTTAGTTTATAGATTATGGAATTTTAGTTCATTCATTCTGGAATTTTTAGTTCATAGATTAAATTATGGAATTATAGTTCATCGATTATGGAATTATAGTTCATCGATTATTGAATTATAGTTCATCGATTATGGAATTTTAGTTCATATGTTGTTGCTGGGAATCGAACCTAATTTTTTTTTTTAAAGGGGAGACGCGCGTTTTATTAAAACGACGTCGTTTTTGCATCCGTATGCACCATGCATGGTGCATACGGATGCACCATGCATGGTGCATACGGATGCACAGCATAATTTGCCAGTGTCAGACCCCTTAAATGCTGCTGTAAATGCTGAGCAACGGCTTCCTGCCGAGTCGTTTTCTCAACCTGGGCCTGGGCCGACTCCTGGACTCGACCCAGGCCTCTGTTGGGCCCTGCCACTGGTCCAAACCTTTATCCGCTGCGCCGTGCCTCAACCGCTCTGGGCCTACTCCTGGACTCGGCCCAGGCCTCTGTCGGGCCCTGCCACTGGTCCAAACCTTTATCTGCTGGGCCGTGCCTCAACCGCTCTGGGCTCTTCAATTATTCATGGACTCTACCTTTTGGGCTTGTTCTTCTTGGGCCGGGGTCCACACCCCATTAACTAGTCCCTCACTTTCTCATATCTGGTCCTCTAACTCGGGTATGGGAAATTAGCAGTATTTCCTCCCTTTGATCAGCAAATCTTCTATTTAATTGTCCGAGTAACGTCCAAATTCTTCGCCATCTTGCGTGATTCGCCGGGGCCGTTTTAAATTCCTCATTTTGTTTGGAGATCCTATAAATAGCGCTCTGGTCTCTTTACCTTCCATCACCTCTTTGATCAGCCATGGGTCGCTCCCCCCTGAAAGGAAAGAGGATAGACTTTGGGTCGCCTCGACATCCTCTACCCTCTAAGTGATCGAGGCCCGAAAGAGAGGGAAAAAAGAAGGCTCCTCGGCCATCCTCCCGGAGGCCTCCTACTGGTGCCACTTCCTCTGTTCTGCAGCCGCCGACTCCCATTCCTTCTCTCGTGGCGAACACTCCGACCTCGGCCGACCTGCCGCCTCCCACCATGGCCATGGTCACTGTGCAGGACCGATCTTTTGTCGAGGTAGCCGTCCCAGAGCAACTATCCTTCCGCATGACCTTCACTATCCCACTCGACGATTTGGACAGGCCGGCGACTGATCTGATGACCGATGCTGATTTCGCTCGATACTTGGAGCTATACCCGGATGATGAGGCGTCGGTGGTGCCGCCTATTATGTTGGCTTTCTGGGATTCTTTTTGTCCGTCTCCTGCCGGACCATCGGAGGAGGTGTTCCCTCAGAATGAGCCTTCTTCTCCCGACGAATGATTGTGCTGACCGGAGTCTGTCAGCGAAATTTCAAGGGAGGGCCATGAAAGGAGCATTTATATATTTTACCTTATTTGATGTAATAAGCTCCTTGATCTGCGTACCGCCTCTCTGATTAATAGTACTATTTTTATTTCTTTTCGAGATCTCCGCTTTTTCATTCGCCCAAGCTTACTGGTCGACTGGTCTCTGAGTCGGCCAGATGACGAACCCTAAAGTCTGACATCCGCGATCTTTCCTGTATCCCTGGGGAGATCTTGCTTTTTTAGTCAACGTGCGAATCTCCCTCTTCCCAAGCGCAGATGATGGAACCATTCTCTGACAAAGATTCCTGAATCCTATCTAATCCTGCCAAAGGATGGCAGTTATGATTCTCTTCGCAATTTTCGCCTGGATATTCGCTCCCATTTTGGGCTATATAAGGGGATTACTTTTGCTCATACTCCTTACACCTTCTGATCCAGCAACCTCAACCATGAGTTATCGAACCGGTGATCGTCGCTTCTCCATCCGCCAAAAGGAATAGGCTCGACTGGAAAAGCTAAGGCAAAAGAGGCCTGCCAACGGTGGCCGCTTGACGGGTGACTCCTCCTCGGATCCCATTGTCGTACCGCCGGATATGTTAGACTTGATTCCCGTGGAATCGGATGAGCGTCCAGTGAAGCCGGTGATAGAGGAGTCAGCACCAGGTGAGGAAGAAGTGTGGGAGGTTCCTCCTCTTTTTGGGGTGGCCATGTCTCCCAGCGCCCTTGAGAAGCCCCTCCAAATGATTGATGACAGGAAGCCTGCCGTCTACTTGGATGATGTGCCGGAGCCGGAGCCGACTCCTCCACCCTTTCGTTCTCAGCTTTTCCTGGAAAGCCCGCCTCCTGCTCGCCCAACAGAGAAGAATGATCCGTGACCTCTTATCTTTTCTTTGTCTTGTAACTTTGGCCGAGATGCGGGCCTTTATCTTTTATGATTAATAAACTGTTGTTTTCTCGTCTTCCACTTGTTCAATGTGAAATCGACATCGACACCTGATTCAACTAATGGACTCGGCATTGCTTATCCGGGGCTGCTTATGCCGACTGGTGGGCCTGGTCCAATGGTCCTACCTTAGATACCTTCGACCCGTACCCAGGCAGCCCAGAGGCCAGAGCCTACGATGGGCCTTATGTCAATGAGCCGGGTTATCCTTACTCGCCCTAGGTCTAGGCCAGACGCGGGCCGTCTTAGGCCAACTGTAGGCCTCAACCGTCATTCCTCTTTTCGAGGGCATTAATTGCAAACGTCCCCTCATCTCCCATCGACCTTTGCTATTCTCCAGTGGGTGCATGACACGTGGCCACTTCTTGGGATTCTCCCCCATTTAAATACTTCGTCTTCCCTCTTCTCCTCACTTTATCTCATAATTTCTGCAAAAACTCCCCAAAATCAAGCTCGATATTCTCCTGCGACTCTTCCTACCGGAGATCATTCAGGTTGGTACAATGTCATCTTCTCCCTCTTCTTCTTCTTCTCGCCGCTCGGCGGAGTCTCTCGCCTCTGCGTCTTCATCTTCATCTTCATCATCTTCTTCTTCTTCTTCCACTCCTCCTCGTCATATGGAGATCCCGTCTGGTCTTCCATCGACATCTTTATCTCAACCGGCCCGTTAATCCTCGGGGGCGGTCACTCCTCTGAGCCCAGCCCCTCTCACGACGGTGGCGGCTATTCCCAAGGGTTCTCAACGGCCGAGGGGTAAATTCGACTCCATACCCCGGCTGGCGGGATCTCCCTCTCTAGTTACTGAGGCGAACCTGGAAATGGCCCGTTTCCTTCTTGGCACTGCGGCCACCGTACTTCCGCCGGACGGCCAGTCAATTTTTGACCCGCCGGAAGATTGCGTCGGCATTCACTTACACTCGGTGGCCTTTGGCTTCCGAGTGCCACCCCATCCCTTTCTTTCTCTTTTCTACCGCCACTATAATCTGGTTCCAGGTTAGCTTGTGCCTAACTCACACCGCCTTCTCGCCTGTTTCATAAATTTATGTCACTGGTGGCTTTGTGAGCCCGACCTGGATCTCTTTAGATGTTTATTTACGGTGAACAAGGTCGGCTCACACTCCCCAGGTTTTATCCAAGTTTCTGCCCGACCTGGGCGTCAGTTATTCGAGGGTCTTCCAGACTCCATAAAGGACTGAAAACCCTACTTCTTCTTCGTCCGCCCTTCTTTCTCAACCTTTACTTTCCCTACCCTATGGCCGGCTGCCCTCTTTAAACCCTGCTCCCGCCGCGCTGCCTTCACCCAAGACGCGATCCTGGGTGTCAAGTTCCTGAAGAGCTTTGGACCTTACTCTGTCAAGTACTAGTCTCGAGTACGGGCCATGGCGAAACGGGGCCTTTTGCCAGCCGGCGTGGCCACCACAGGTAGCCCTTCGCAACCTTCTCTTTCCCTGATCTCCTTATTTGATCCGACTGCTGACCCTTTAATTTTCTCTCACGCAGGTCCCTACGACTCCGACTCCACCAGCTCGGACGAAGCCGAAGCTCCAACACCTGCCATGGCCGATCGCGCTGAAAAGATGAGACGCCGACTGTCGCAACGGTCGTCTGGTGCACAAGCAGCTTCCTCCTCACTCCCTTCTCCGGCTCCCCGGGCGACTCCAACTCCACTACGAAATGTGGTGGATCTGACACCGTCTCCTGCCGTTTCTCCCTCCAGGCTTCTGCCTCCAGCTCCGACCGAGAACCCAAGCTCCAAGCAACCGTTGGAGCAGTCAGACACGCCGCCTCCCAAGAAGATTCGACTGGGACTGGAGCTCAAAGAGAATGCCCAGATCTAGCAGGGCAGCTACTCGGTTCAAAACTGGGCCGAGCATGTCCTTCTTCCTAAGGACTTGGAGGCGGCGAGCCAGATGCAGGATGAGTACATCCTGGAGGCCTCCCTACGACAGTCTCACCTTGATTTCCACTCTCTCAATCATGACTAACGTGCCTTCCTTCCTTCCAGAACATCACCTTCCAACTGTAGCTGAAGAAACGGATGCGGGCGCTCAAGACTACCATGCACTCCATCGCCACTCGTCTACGCCAGTCAGAGGAGGCTCGCCTGGAGGAACAGGCGGTTTATCCCAAGGCGAGGGAGGTTCATACTGCCGAGCTGCTGAGGATCACCCGCCAGTGGGAGACAAAGCGAGACAAGGCCGTCGCCGCCGCTGCCTTGGTTGCCACCGCTGTTGCTGAGTACAAGAACTCGGCTGCCTTTGAAGCGGACGTGAGGTTGGCAATTGAGGGTCGTCGAGAGGCGCTGGCAAAGGAGTGGCTGGCGACTCCAGAAGGAGACGACTACCTGCTAGATCTCGGCGAGCGCGACTACCGCTTGGGTTTTCGCGAGGCGCAGTTGGAGATCCATGCCCTCCTCTTGGCCCGCGACTCGACCTTTACTTTGGAGAGCTGGGGTCTTAAGCCGGTGCTCGATCCTCTACCGGCTGCTGACGCACCCGTGGCGGCTGCTGATCCAGTGGCTCTTCCTGTGGCGAGCCCGGTGACCTCGACTGAACAGCTTCCTACAGCGAAAGACCCATCATCTGCTCCTCCAGCTAGAACATCGGCGGAAGAACAAGTTGAGGAAGTCGATGTCGACACCCCCTCCCCCATAGTCTAGGGCTTTTAGTAATTTCTCTTTTTGTAAGGGCTGGCCTCCCTTTCGGGCCTTTTGATGAATGAAGATTTCTTTCTGTTTAATGCTCCTCTTCGTACTTTTCTTTATGCAATTTCTTATTTATGGCTTTCGACTGCTCCTGTTGAATCCTTACGCCCCCATAACTCCCGGTGCGTGGGTCTTTTGGTTCGCCGAGTCTCTCAGCCGAGGCGACTCCTGTGGGTTTCTCATGGAAACGCCTAAGGGTCTGGGCCCTGATTTTTTATCTTTTCTCGCCGAGTCCCTCAGTCGAGGCGACTCCTTTTGGCTTTTCCTTAGAAACGTCTAAGGGTCTGGGCCCTTGTTTCCTATCTTTTCTCGCCGAGTCCCTCAGTCGAGACGACCCTTTAGGCTTTTTATTTTCTTAGAAACTGTTTTAGGGTCAGTGCCCCATCGTTTCTTTACTTTCTCGCCGAGTCCCTTAGTCGAGGCGACCCTTTAGGCTTTTTCTTTTCTTAGAAACTGTTTTAGGGTCAGTGCCCCATCGTTTCTTTACTTTCTCCCCGAGTCCCTCAGTCGAGGCGACTCCTTTTGGCTTTTTCTCGGAAACGTCTAAGGGTCTGGGCCCTTGTTTCCCATCTTTTCTCGCCGAGTCCCTCAGTTGAGGCGACTCCTTTTGGCTTTTCCTCGGAAACGTCTAAGGGTCTGGGCCCTTGTTTCCCATCTTTTCTCGCCGAGTCCCTCAGTCGAGGCGACTCCTTTTGGCTTTTTCTCGGAAACGTCTAAGGGTCTGGGCCCTTGTTTCCCATCTTTTCTCGTCGAGTCCCTCAGTCGAGGCGACTCCTTTTGGCTTGTTCTCGGAAACGTCTAAGGATCTGGGCCCTTGTTTCCCATCTTTTCTCGCCGAGTCCCTCAGCCGAGGCGACTCCTTTTGGCTTTTTCTCGAAAACGTCTAAGGGTCTGGGCCCTTGTTTCCCATCTTTTCTCGCCGAGTCCCTCAGTTGAGGCGACTCCTTTTGGCTTTTTCTTGGAAACGTCTAAGGGTTTGGGCCCTTGTTTCCTATCTTTTCTCGCCGAGTTCCTCAGTCAAGGCGACCCTTTAGGCTTTTTCTTTTCTCATAAACTGCTTTCAAGATGTGGAAAGTGTCGGTATTTTATTCAAAGTTGAACCTTAGGTGAATACACGGGCTAACCTTTTGCCAATAGACCTTGAACTCACTAATAGAACTTCTTCAAGTGGATCACGTTCTAGATCCGGTCAATGAGCTTCCCCTTCAATGTCTCTAGTTTATATGTGCCGGCTTGGACCACAGCGGCAATGCGATAAGGTCCTTCCCACTTGATCGGGAACTTTCCTCCTTCCGTCGGCTGGCTCGTCTGTTGATCTCGTAGCACGAGGTCGCCTACTTGAAAGGTTCGTGGGTGAATCCTCCGATTCCGATATCTCTTTACGGCCTGCTGATATTCCACCATACGAGCATGCGTGGCTTCCCTTCGCTCTTCCAAGAAGTTCTTTTCAATCCTGAGGCTCTCCTTGTTTCCTTCATCTGTGTAATTACGAACTCAGTGGGTAGGCTCGACGAATTCTACTGGAACTTTGGCCTCGAAGCCATATGCTAGGGAGAACGGACTTTCACCGGTCGCCCGCCTCTGAGTGGTTCGGTAGGCCCACAGGACTCGGTCGAGCTCATCCGCCCAGTTTCTTCCAATGTCCTCCAGCTTTTTCCAGATTCCGTCTACGATTGTACGATTTACATTCTCGACTTGTCCATTGGCCTGGGCGTAAGCAATGGACACCTTAGTATGGCGTATACTATGCCGTTGGCAGAAATCGGCGAAGGGTTGGCAGTCGAACTGTCGACCGTTATCGCTGACCACATGCTCAGGTAATCCGAAGCGGCAGTTTACCTTCTTCCACAAGAAGCGTCGACACTGGTATTCGGTGATAGTGGCTAACGGCTCAGCCTCAACCCATTTGGTGAAGTAGTCGATGGCTACTACGCAGAACTTCAAACGCCCGGGGGCGACCGGTAGTGGGCCCAACAGGTCAATCCCCCATTTGGCGAACGGGATGGCCGTAGTAACCGGTGTGTAGAAAGTGGCTGGCCGAGTATCTTTTCGAGCGAATGCTTGGCAGATCACGCATTTGGCTATCCACTCAATGCAGTCCCTCATCATAGTAGGCCAGTAGTACCCTTGAACGACTAGCTTCCGGGTGAGAGTGTGGGCGCCCTGGTGGGTTGCACAGATTTCGCGATGGGCTTCATCCATTATTTTCTCCGCCTCCGGTCTGAGTAAGCATCTGAGGAGGGGACCCCCAAACGACCGTTTGTATAGTTGTCCATCGATAACTTCGAATGACGGAGCCTTGCGACGGACCCCGGCGGCGACCCCGGGGTCCTCTGGCAATTCTCCCTTTTCCTTGTACCGTCGAATATCTTCGATCCAGAACATTTAAGGGTATTTCACGCGGTCCCATTCTCCAGTCGTCACTTGCTGAATCTCTAAGGTCGCTTCTTCTATGCTGGGTCGGACCAGTTCCTCCTTTTGGCAGATTTTAACGAGGTGATCCGAAACGCCTTCCAAAGCGATTTTCGACAGTATGTTGGCCTCTGTGTTGTCGGCTCGCGAGATGTACTCTATCTCATAAGCGCCGAATCCCTTTAATAGTTCCACCGTCTTCTCCTTATATTGAGCCATCTGAGCGTTCTTAGCTTCGCAGGTCCCAGACACTTGTCCAACCACTAAACGGGGGTCGATCTTGATTCGTAGGCGTTCCGCCCCCAGTGTCTTGGCGAGTCGTAGGCCACCTAGCACAGCTTTGTACTTGGCCTCGTTGTTAGACGTTGGGAACAGATAACTCAAAGTGTAATAAAGCCTGAACCCTTCCGGAGTAATCAACATAACTCCGCCGCCGCAATGTTGGTGACTTGCTGCTCCATCCGCGTGTACCTCCCACCATTTGCCGGGGCCATCCTCCAAGATATCTTCCATGTCGCCTTCTCCTGTAGTGCACTCGACCAAGAAGTCGGCCAAGGCCTGTCCCTTTATTGATGGGCGAGGCTGGTACTCGATCCCATACTGGGTCAGCTCCACTGCCCATTTCACAAGCCGGCCAGACGACGTGGGATTCCGTAACACACTCCCCAGGGGTTGATCGGTCAAGACCCGAACGGTGTGGGCTTGGAAGTAAGGCGCTAGTTTGCGCACGGTGATTACCAAAGCGTAAACGATTTTCTCCAGGGGCGTATATCGCGTTTCGACTGCTTTCAAAGAACGACTCACGTAATATACCGGGTTCTGGGCACGTTCCTCCTCTCGGACAAGTACCGAACTCACCGCCTTCGAGGATGCTGCTAGGTATAAGAATAATGGCTCACCGACTTGAGGGTGGACAGCACCGGAGGTGTGGAAAGATATCTTTTCAGTTCTTCGAACGACTGTTGGCACTCGACTGTCGGCACTCGACTGTCATACGAAGCCCTCCTTCTTCTTCATAGCCTCAAAAAAGGGCACAGTCTTGTCCGCCGACTTGCTTAGAAAACGACTAAGGGCAGCCAGTCTACCAGTCAACCGTTGTAGGTCCTTAACAATACTGGGAGGCTGCATGTCCATGATGGCCTGCACCTTCTCCGGGTTGGGCTCGATGCCCCTCTTGGTCACCATATACCCCAAGAACTTCCCACCTTGCACGGCAAAGGCGCACTTCTTCAGATTAAGTCGTAAATTGTACTTAAGCATTATCTGGAAGCAGTCGGCCAGATCCTCAGCATGATTGATTTCCTCTCGGCTCTTCACTAGCATGTCGTCCACGTATGCTGCCATAGATTTTCCCAACAAGTCCTGGAATAGCCGGGCAATCATTCGCGTATACGTAGCTCCTGTGTTTTTAAGTCCGAACTGCATGACTTGGTAACAGTACACCCCATCTAGGGTCAGGAACGCGGTTTTCTCTTCATCGTCCCTGTGCATGAAGATCTGGTGGTATCCTCTGAAGGCGTCCATGAAACTCAGTAAGGCCAACCCCGCCGTTTCGTCGACCAACTGATCGATCCGAGGCAGCGGAAACGGGTCCTTCGGACAAGCCTTGTTAAGGTCGGTATAGTCCACACACATTCGCTAAGCCGGGGGTTTTGGCACGAGTACCACGTTAACTAACCATTCTGGATATTTGACTTCTCGAATGTGACCGGCGGCAACAACGTGCTTACCTCTTTCTTCACGAATTCCCTTCTGTCGTTGGCTAGATATTGCTTCTTTTGGATCACCGGTCGATGATCGGGGTCGACCGCGAGCCGGTGAGCAATGATAGAACGGTCAACTTCCGGCATATCCTCCGGCCCCCAAGAAAAGACCAACCGGTTCTCTCGAAGTACCTTTATGACTACCTCTCGCACCTCATCTCGGAGGCCGACCCCAATTCGAACTCGTCTCTCTGGTCGTTTGGGGTCGATTTCGATATCTTCCAATTCTACGGCCGACTCCGGGCGGGGTATCATTATCTTCTTTGGAGGTCGTTCTATGATCTCATGGACTTGCATTTCACGCTTACCCATTCCCCTGCAAGCTCGCAAGTAGCAGTCACGGGCGACTATTCTGTCACAGCGGACCGTGCCTATCCCATTCGGCGTGCGAAACTTCAAGCAGAGGTGCTCGATAGAGATAAACGCTCCCAAATCTTCCAAGCCTGGTCGGCCGAGTATTGCGTTATGCGAACAGGTCAGGTCGACCACGATGAACTTCATGTCCAGCTTCTGCACGTCAGGGTAGCTGTCGATTTCTATTGGCAGGGTAATTGACCCCTCCGCCTCCACAGAGTCGCCCCTAAAACCGGCGAGTTGCGTCTTGACTGGGATCAGCTGCTCTCGTGTCAATCCCATTTTGGTGAAGGTCTCAAGGTACATGACGTTGACACTGCTCCCGGTATCTACCAGGATTCGCCGAACGACTACCCCATTTACGTCCATCGCAATGACCAGGGCATCGCGGTGTGGTGTTTCTCCTGTGGGTAGATCTTTGTCAGTAAAGACAATAGGCTCTCGGCAGGCTTTCTACGAGCCACCTTCTCGTCCGTACACTGTTCCCACATACAATTGTCGAGCTCAGGCTTTTCTGGTGTTTGCAGAGTCGCCTCCCTCTGGTCCGTCGACTATCATATTGATAACCGGCTTCTGTCGCCACTGGGCCTCGTCTTCGTCGGTCGTCGGCTGCTTGCAGCGACTGCATTCGGCCGCCCCTGCAGAGTCTCCGTCTTCCAGGGCCGCCGATCTTCGTCGCCATTGGTTGGGAGGCGGGGTCCCTTGCTGGATGATCCCCTCCATGATCTTATTCAGGTAATAACACTCTTCCGTGTTGTGGGTGTATGACTTATGATAACGACAATATCTAGACACCTTACCTGGATCCTCGTTTGTTTCACGCTCCTCGGTCGGAGGAGGCGCGACTGCTTACACTAGGTGCTGGGGAGTCGGCCTATAAGGGTGGATGCTGGGCCTGTCGTATGGACGCCGTGCTTCAGGTTGCCTAGCAGGTTCCGGGCGTTTCTTCCTAGTTTCCGCACGGGTTCTCTTTCCATTAGCAGATCCCCCGACCTCACGCTGTCGCTTGTGCTTCATGGCCTGCTCCGTGTTGGCTCGTTTATCAGCCATATGTATGGCCTCCGCGTAGGTGGCTGGCCGGTTATCCCGTAGATCACGGTATAGCTGCCCGGATCGTAAAGATTTGATGAAGAAGGTGAGGGCGGTCTGGTCCTCAACTTCCTCGATAGACTGGATCTCTTTTTGCCATCGGGCCAGGTAGGTCTTGAGGGATTTGCCCTCCTCTTGGTGAACGTATCCCAGATGGGTCAGATCTTTCTATGGCTTGATGTTGGCCGCGTAGTGGCTCATGAAGCGGTCGCCTAGCTCCTCGAAATTGTGTATCGATCCCGGGGGCAGAGCCAGCAACCATCTCTGTGCCGAGCCCTTTAGTGTCAGTAGGAAAGCGCGACACATGACAGGGTCTCGGACTACTAAAACCTGCATCTTAGCCTGGTAGCTTAGAAGATGCTCTCGCTGATCACCGTATCCGTCGAAAGTGGCCTGCTCCGGGAACTTGAAGTCGCCGGGTACCTTGTAAGACATGATCTCGGTGGAGAAAGGCAAGGCGGTAAGCAACGTTCGTCCTGGGGACTTGGTCCTACCTTCCACTTGCTCCCTCAGGTTTCGCAATTCTCGAGCCAGGTGAGCCATATCACCATCGTTTCGAGTGTGGTTTCCTGTGGACTCAGTGCTTTCACCGACCTCTGATTCGGCCTGTCGGTCATCGTTGTGTATAGGTCGCTCGGACCGTAATACCCGAGTCCTGGTCCTTCTAGTACGGGTTCTTTCTCGGGCGGCCCCTCAATTTTGTGGACCCGCCGGTGCGCGTCTGGGCTCTCTCTCCCCCAGTCGTTCTCTCGCTGATTGACGCGCGGCATTCGGACCAAGCCTCGAATGAACTGATCCGCTCGCCGATCTCCTTGTCTGCCTTCTCCAGACCTTTGGGGCGGTTGTTGATTGCGGGGCGGCGTCTGTGAAACCGACTGTTCTCCCATTCCCCGATTTTCAACGACGATAGCCTGTCCGATGGCTCGAAGCTGTTCGGGGGTGAGGGGTATCATTGGTGGTGGCCGATTCAGGGGCGCCGACTCGTTTTCTTGACTTTGGGCGTTCTGCTGATTTAGCTGCTCTCTTAAGTCGGCTTCTGGCACATTGTTACGGTCAGCGGCCTGGCTTCGTCCTTCCGACATGCTACAAAGCATTCGTCTTTCTTACACTATCCATGTCCTTCTCGTGAATTCGTCTGCTCAAGAACGGATGTGGCTCTTTGTTTCGTTCCCACAGACGGTGCCAGTGTTGGTTTTAGGGTTTTTTGGGCACAGGGAGGTCCAACACAACCTTGGTCGATGG